GGCGCTCCCATTACTGATGAAGGATGCTATTGTCAACAATAGAGAAGTCACCTGTCATCACTGTATATTAAATCTTATATATTAAAGGGGAATATACGGGTACAGGCCAAAAGCCCATCAGGACAAAAGCCCTTGGTACAAAAGACCCTCGATGAAAAGCCCCTCAAGACAAAAGCTCGTCGCTAATTTGAGCACCCCTGTCAAAAGCCCCTCGATTCATGAGTGAGTGAGTGAGTTAATATTTAACGCCACCTCGGCAATATATCAGCCATATCGTGACGAGAACAATTAATGATTATATCATATATCAATAAATTTAGAAATTAAAACCTGTTGTCGAAGAACAGTAAAACTTCTAGTGTATCACAGATATCCATTTAAAACTAGTAATTAAATATGAAACATGTTAATTAGAAATGACACGACAATGTGAAAACAGGCGAAAGATCGCCAACAACTGAAGGTAGATCACCATACTAGGGACCCTCGATTCATGTATTTCATAAAAGAATGAACATTTCTCATTGCTCTTTTATATTTTATAAAGAACTTTAAGTAGGAAAAAGTATTTTTGTTTAATAAAGTATAATATAATTTTCCTATTGCTTTTATGCATTCATAAGGTATTTTAAGTATTTTATCATATCAATTGCAATGTAAACTAAAAGGAGAAAATGTGATAATTTCTGTCCGCCACAGATAATGGATTACGCCACCTTACGGCATCAACAAAATGGATTTTCTTTACGCCTTAGGCCACAACATTGGGATGTGTTCATTTGTTTAATTATTAATTATGATGCAATGCAATTTTTCATGTCATTAATCATTTCTTGTTGATTTGTTTGGTGAAATTTATTGCAGATTCACTAAAATTATTTGCTAATTATATATTAATTATATATTATTTAGGGTCATTATATCATGAGGCAATGAAAATGTTCATGTCATAAATCATTTCTTGTCTTTAATCATATTTTCCAATTAATACATAAAGTGAGAGGCTTTTGTCATTTTTCGAGGGGCTTTTGTGCGAGGGGCTTTTGTGCGAGGGGCTTTTGTGCCAAGGGCTTTTTTCCAAGAATCTAATTTACATGGTCATCTGCCAAGTCCACGTTCTCCAACACGTTCCTTAAACTGAACTTGTCGTTTCACCGACGGCTTCCATATTGACTCTGATGTATAAATTACCTGTTTTGCCAGTCAAGTGTCAATTGTGACCTACTGGGTCCAACCAGAACCAAAATGCCTTTGTAGGCAATTTCGCATCTGGAGCTAACATTTGACAACATAATATTTCCTATCCTCGATAATCTCCAGCGTATACGTTACGATCACTCTCCACTATACCCTGGATGCATCCACGGCTTGGCCCGATAATTATATTAACTCCCTTTGCTGGCTCCGCATTCTCACAGTAGCCAATCAGCTAAGCCGGCGTCACATTCCAGCTTGACAGTGTCAACAAGGATAGCAGTTCGCAGTGCCACTCAGAGTTTTTGGGAAATCATACAGACAAATTGACAGATCTGAAACTCATTTTAAAAAAATATATATAAAAGAACTCCTTCTACCTCTTTCAGAGTACCTCTGCATCAACTGTGTTGCTAAGTTTAAACGGTCAGATAATTTACGAAGCGAAAGTGAGTTTTGTTAGTTCGCTCAACTTCCCAGCGTAGACACCTGATTGGATAAAAAGTCAGCCAAGGGAGGTAATAAAATAACCGGGCCAAGCCCAAGGGTATAGTGGAGAGTTATCGAGGATGAATAGTTCCCCACTTCTGCATAACCATGTATTCCACGACAAATATTAACCATAATCAGAAAAAAAATTTATATCCTAAGGTTATGTAGTTGGGATTGTGTTCAACCCTGGTGCAGTTATTCAATCAGAGTATACTATAATTAATTCCTATAGCTTCTGATAACCTAGCACATAAGATACAGTATAACCAGAAATTATTGAGAATTTAAAGATTGTACATTTTTTATTTTTTTAACTCATTACTCGCGTACTAAATGTGAATATTAGCAGCACATAGCTCCAGATTCAAAGACAGGTGAACAGTTAGTATTTTGTCAAGTCACCATGGGCAGCAATGCAGGCTTCAATGCGGCGGGGCATATTACTGATCAAAGAAGTTAGAAGGTCGTAGTCCATGCTGTCCCAATATCGGACCACCTCTTCTTTCATTTCAGCAATATTTGTCAGATTTTTCTTATTGACACTTTCCTTCATAAGTCCCCAAACATTTTCTATTGGATTAAGGTCGGGGCTATAGCTTGGCCAATCTAATAATGTCATATTTTGGGTCCGAAACCAGGCCTGTGAATGCTTTGAACGATGTTGTCGGTCGTTGTCCTGCTGGAAAATCCAAAAATTTCCATAGAACATGTGAGCAGATGGAAGTAAATGTCCCTCGAGAATATCTGTGTACTGCTCACTGTTCATATTCCCTTCAAATACATAGAGGGGCGTTGCCCCTAACACAGATATGCCACCCCACACGTAAAATTTCGGACTGTACTTTGGGCGCTGACACAAAGGTTTTTCAGTTTGTTTGGTCCAGAATTTCAGTGTATTAGGAAACAGCCACACAGAACTTTCATCTGAGAAAATCACATTGTCCCAGTTAAATTTTCTATGCTGTAAGCACCAGTACAACCTCCGCTCCTTTTGTTCAGGTTTCATGATCGGTGATGGAATTCCTCGACTTTTCTACCAACCCATTGCATGCAGCTCAGTTCTAAGTGTCTCCTTACAGGCAGCCACAGTTCCTCTATCAATCACATCCAGTCTTAAGTTTTCTTAACTCCTTCGTTTGTTTTTAGAAACAAGAATACCAAGCCGCCTCCTGTCACCGACAGACAATTTTCTGGACCTACTTGCGCCTCCCTGGTGCTCAATGCCATATCCATTTGCAATATTTTTCAAAACATGATAAACAGTGGACAAAGGGATGCCTGTTCTACTTGAAATCACTATAGCTGATCTGATGTCCTTGTTATAATACTCTAAATCATCCATACTGAGGATCACTGAAAATGTCGTCTTCTAGCAAGTAAACAAAGGGGCATAACTCTTCACAAACTAATGAAAAAGGATAAACGGAGCTGTCTCTCTTGAATGATACCAAGCACTTGATAGCTGTTCAAGGTTGTTTATGCTGGAAATCCAATTAAACATATTCCTAAAATTCTCAATAATTTCTGGTCATACTATAGCACTCTCAAAATATTCCCCTGTTAAACATTAAACAACTTAAGGTGTTCAATTGAAAGTGAGTGATCAATAGTCAGAAAAATGTCTCATTACAGACGTTAACATTCACTGCTGTTGGCAATGTCTGTGCGCATATTCGCAGATGTTGCAAGTTTTGTTTTTAAAAAAAAAAGAAAAAATACGACGCGCCAATGGCGATGTTGTTAAAACGCCCACCTGACATCACGTACCACCCCAACGACGCAATCGTCAGCGATCACCTCCATTAAGACCACCTTATTCAAATTCGAGGAGGTCATGGAAACAGGTATTTATAGGTGTGGACCACTGAAAAATACATTCCAGGGATTGGTTTGCTGTGAGAGTGTGTCCAGCGTAAGTCAAACTTATTTTTTGTTTCATCATTTGACTCTTCTGCAAATTGTTTCTGTTTGTGTTACAGATAAAATGTAATATGACGTCATCGAATCCAAAATTAAGTTGATCCATGTTCATGATATTAATCACTTAAACCCAAACATACAACTTGGAAAAAGAACCTGCTGCAACAGGTTACATTTGTAACGAAACGAATATATGCGAAATCGTATGAAATAATGACATTTGCGTGCACGACATTAACGTGCCATTCTATGACGTCATTTGAATTAGCGGCGTCAGCAATTGGATAATCAGCGTTGGGCCTCTGTCATGTTTTCTAAATGAATAGAAGTTCACTCTCGACTTCCATGAGTGAGCGTCCGAGAACAGCGTTTTGGAACGTCCTGATAAGCGCTTCAGATACGTTAATGTCTTATTGTTTTGGTTTTGTTTTTTGGTTTTGTTGTTTGTTTTTTGTTTTGTTGTTGTTGTTGTTGTTTTGTATTTTGTGTGTGTGTGACTTATAGTTTCTTTTCAGATCAGATAACTGACGTGAATCAAACGGTTATATGATTTACACACGGAACAGTACAGATGTGTGTGATATCACATTAAGTACGGTGTCTCAATTATTTTTTAGAGGGAGGGTTCAGAGTCCCATGGGGTGGTGTCTCAAATACTGGGCCAAGTGTACTTCACAGAGTCAATACTATCGACACTTGAAACAACCATTTGCCTGGTAATGTTTCTTTCTGATGATGATGCGCGTTTTCATCATACCAGGATTGTAATCGAGTTCCTCCAACAGCACAACGTCCAAGGCCAACAGACCTGGCCAGTTCTGAACACGTCTCGGACATCATTGATAAACATGTTCGTCTGAGTCAAACATCCACACAGCCACTCCCAATGAACCCGTGAAGATCTGGGTTAGCATTGGTCTTCCGAAACCTAACCTTGTCGTAGGAGGCTACTGACGGTAGTGCATGGTCAGGCTGGCTCACTTGGTTGACTGCGTATATCGATGCTCACTATGTTGATCACTGGAATGTCTGGTCCACACTGGAGTCTTCACAGACCAGCGCCATATAGCTGGAATAATGATGAGTTTGGCGTCAAACAACAGACAAACACTCTCAATGGCATTGGTGCTACTCTCGCTTGTGAGTAGAACAACATGAGTCACGTTGAATTTGGCTGATGACCACTGAGCGAATTTGGCCCATTCATCCCAGCCTTGGGATTTGGGCATGTACAGCGGAGTATCATTTGTTGGATAGACTTATGCAAAGAAACATTCATTGACATTGCAACTCTAACTGATTATCTGATGTGAAGACCGACTGAGACGATGATGTTCTTTTCTTTTTAAAAAGAGAAACAGCATTGAATACGTGTTTTGTTCCATACATTTCAGAAAAGCCAAACGAACAGTCACTATGAGGACCCAGACGCTTATGATCATGGCGGTAGTGCTGGTATTTGCCTGTTTGTGGCAAACGGGTGACGCCCTGCCAGGTGAGTTCAAAGTGTCCCTTTTTTACATCTCTCGAGAAATGCAAAATATATGTTCCGTCGGTCAAGGCTGGTATGAGTGTGCATCTGATGTCGGTAACCGTTTGAGTTTTTTTATGTCTCAACCAGGTAATCCTTCTCAAGCGCTGTAAAGTTAAATCGGCTGACACCGCTTGGACGATACCTTGGAAGCTATCTCTCTGTATGTGTGTGAGTGTGTGTGCTTGTGTTTGTCTTTTACGGACTTTGGACAGAAACACGAGGGAAGTTCAATTAAAATGGATTAACTGGTGGGCGTCCAGAAAGTGTCTGATAAAGTGTCGTTTTTCTAAGGCGAAATTGGATGGATAAAAGATATGTTTTTGCTCCACCTTGTACAACTGGTAATGGACACTCACAAAGAGTCCCTGAAGTACGTAATGCCCATGGTTTCACTTAGTGTGCAGTAGGTTTCGATAAGTTGACTATTGGATAGTGCGCTTTTTATTGGTAATTGGGTAATGACCGCGTAATGTGTAATAAGAAAATATTGTCTTCGCTTTCCGAAAACCACAACGATTCAGGTTCAGAGTCCGACATTTGTTTGCGTTTTTCACTTTACTTGTAGGAATGTCAGTATCGGGTTCGCGCTTCGCTAAAGTATTGAACGCTTCGTTCATAGAACCCATGAAATAAGTCATTCTGTCCATGCTAGCCTCCATTTTCGACATAAACGTACACGGTACTGTCGAAATCTCACGTCTGGCTTGCTGATGGTTTGTCTTTGCAAACCTTCTGGGTGAGTTCCATTGTCAAGTTGGTCATTATCGGACTACATGGTTTCATCCGCGTCGCAATCCGCCATTTTGCTTGTGTCAGATCAGCACGGTGACAATGCAATATTTTGACTAGATTCTAATCGATGAGAGTACAGTGAAACTATGCTTCAACGTTTGTGTACCCCATGGTTTCAACAAACCAAGAAAATAACCAGCTAGATGAAGCAGGTTCTGAGTTCATCTACCGCTTCACATGAAGAAAGGTGAACAGCGTCTGCTCACCTCGAAGCTAACGGCGCAATAAAGATAAAGGAAGCGGTCGCTTCTCACGTAGTGACGTAATACTATGACGAGGTAGAATTATTGTGATAGTATCCAGTGTCAGTTTGTCAGTATGCATTGTGGAAGTGATCAATTACTGTTCAGTTTTACCTGATGATGGGGCCAGCACAAGCCCTGAAACGCTGTACTCAAGAATAACAAGAAGATATAACCCAGGAAAAATCTCTATGTTCATCAACAGATTCATATCCAAATTTTCACCGCATTAATGTCGTATAAACATTACTTAGTGCATAGTTAAAAGACACTTTTTCAAACTGGAGCGCCATTTCAAGAAGGGGCCAAGAACGAATGTTCAGTATCCCTTGAAGGTCCAGGTTATAATTGGTCTTCAGCAACCCATGCTTATCAGAAAAGGCGACAAATGGGATCGGACGGTAAAGTATGCTCACTTATTACATGAAATGAGCTGTGTATAGAATCAGTTTGCACACTCCAAATTTGCTTTTGAATGTACGTACCGGCCAACCAGGAACGGTGTAACCTACCATCATGTATTATCTCCGATCCAGTTCATCACATAACAAGTGTACTACTTGTTAGGGTTACCATGTACATGCCCATTGTGGAAGTGTACTTACTAGACTAGACAATGGCATTATGAATGGATAGCCAGTAGTGTTACATGGTATCGGTGACATTTCAAATATTTTTGCTTTATGCATAGTGAGTTGAGACTAATGTGTGTAGGCTAATGACCAAACACCGTGACCACCATACACAAAGTCCATGGTCTAGACTACCAATTGCTAGGCTTCCATCGAAGGTGCGTTGGCTGAGTGGGTTAGACGGCTTACTTTGTGTGCTGGCGATAAGGTGCTTGACTCTTAGGGTGTGCGTTACTTAGTGTACGAGGTGTACTTACTCCCGGATGGGACTCTACCCAACAAATGTACTAGAATCTGTACTTTATAGAGAAAGTATAATCCCAAATCTAACATGTGTCACACCGTGACCAGTTGCTTCACTTGGCACACTCTTACCCGGGATTGTCATCGATATATCGACATCGGGCAATGGACGACAATGTGATATTCTCATTCCATCTATGAAACTAACAATATTGTTTCTGGTATGTACGTATTCATGCTTGTACATGTGCATGAGGCAACACATGCTCGTATGATGAGGACGAAACTGCCTTGAAGTGACACCAAGCGAAGATGAAGGGATGTTGCAGTCGTTTCTACTTCAGTTTTCAGGAACTTAACACGCGTGAAAATGCATCACTATATAGCACTGACACACTGGCAAATGATACCTTGGAACTAAATAAAGTCACGACTGATGTGATTCAAATGTTTGCTAAATTAGTTTGTTGGGTTCAGTTACTTCTGTGGCCTGCCTTTCACTGCAGTCGAACCGGTGGCTATGTCGTTTAGAGCGGCCGCATGAAGACAGAAAAGTTCACTACAGAAAGAGGTCAAAGATGGTTTATCTGTATGGATGAAACGGTTATGAAGATTCAACGATGTATGTCGTAAATTATACGTTATGATACAGATTCCCTCATTTTGAGACTGAAGAAATCAAATCTTGTCAAAGTATTACAGAATTACAGGGACATATTCTTGCATCATACCTAAATTCATTTAAGGTACTGGATAGGCCCAAATGCTTGTTCCATGAACAGTAAAAAAGGGGGCAAGTCCTTTAAGTGAGTGAGAGTTAAAATTTATCGTCACATCGGCAATATTGCAGCCATATCGTGACGAGAACAATTAATTTTATACATAGTAAGTAATGGTAAACTGTAAAAACATGTCAACGAAGGACAGTAAAATAACTAGATTATCACAGATTCGAATTTAAAACTAGTAATTAAATCTAAAACAGTTTAACTATAGATGACAATACAGATTAAAACCAGGCTATAGATCACCAACAACTGAAGGTAGATCACCATACTAGGGACCATGGGAACTTACAGTACCTTTGCTTCCTGCATGGGCCCTAGCTGGATGGTAAGTCTTTTATAATGTGCTCATTGCTCCATCATGGTCGCTCATACTATCTACCACTGGGTTATCGGACTGAATCTGCGAAAACAGAATATTACACACACAGTCGCGGGAAAGACACAAGAAAGTTGGTAAGTTTGTTATTTAACGCCACATTTAGCAATATTCCAGCTATGAAGATGGCGGCAGTCTGTAAAGAATCCAGTAAGGACCAGACAATCCACTGATCAACAGCATGAGCATCAATCTACGCAACTGGGATACGATGACATGTGTCAACCACGTCAGCGAGCCTGACCACACGATCCCGTTAGTCGCCTTTACGACAAGCATGGGTTACTCAAGATTAATTTTAACCTGGGTCTTCACGAGTTGAACAACAAAAGAGAAAGATAAAGAGCTGGAGAAGGTTTCACTGTATAGCATGGTCATATTGAATTACTTTTTAGTTTTGCTTTTTTTAATAACGATAAACATTCAATGAATAAGGACCGGGATGGAAGAAGAGTCAAATAAATCGTAATTTCGTCTTGAGCAGGACGGAATATTTACAGGAAGTTTAAATGTCATGCAAACGAATAGATTCGGTTTTTGACTCACTGTCACTTCAACACGCACTGTAATAATGTAACACGCACTGTAATCATGTAACACGCACTCACTTACTTGTATTGAAAATTGAATATACTAGCAGGTACCTCCTAGTCAATGGTGCAAGAATCGCAAAATATACGAACGTCTTTTTCTTACATTTGCCAGTATTGAATATCCTTACCTATCATTACGGAAAAGTCACAGTGACATAATAACGACAGTTTTATGTGGGATGTACCTTGTTTGAATGAAACGCACTCTGAAGTTTTCTCTATAATCCTACTTATTGTCACTGATTAAACCAGATCAGAACAGTAAAAGCAAAGTGAGAACGAAGAGGAGTGTGTTTCTTGCAACTTTGGCTGCAGCCAAATTTAAGGGTGCGTACTTTTCAGGTCATGTGCTTTGTTTAATATGCTTTGAAAGTGTACAATATTGATCGAAACAAACAACTACGTTATATTTGAAAAAGGAGTGGTTTCAAGCAAAGTAGTATAGTGCAGGGACTGTCAGACAGACCGGTTATGACCATGTATCGGTATCGTGAACAATATATAACTTAAAGTCATTAAACCGTATTATTTTCCGTTCCTTTCAGCCCTTTATTCATTGCACAAACAATAAATGAAGCAAGCCTAAATTATCCTCAGGTTCAGATTCTGAATGTCCCATCTCACTTGGCACCCTGTTCAATTGAAATGGAGTTCTTATATAGTCTGATAAATCTAGTTATTACTCTGTTTTGGGGGATTCGCTGGTGTGTAGTGTACGTCGTGTCATTCTGTAGGCTTACTAGACCAAACCCGTTTGCAAAAATGCACATGTATTCTGTTGGCTAAAAGTCTGGGTACTATTCTCGTATATTCAGTGATATGATATCTGGTTTTTGTTACACTTCACTACAAAAGTATTAACCGTTACAGGGCCTTGTCCATTTCTAAATACAATGAATTCTATTCTCAACGTTATCATTACGTTATTTACACGTGCACTCAAACAGTTGCGATGTTATATAACACGTACGTACTTTAAATAGTCCGTAGTATCGAGATGCAATCTGTTAAGCAAACCGCATGCCCAGAACGGCTGAATTAGGCATTTCCTCTGACAGGTTTTTGACCCGCGTCAGACTCTGGCCTGAAATCTGACACGCGAGAGGTGACCCGTGAAAGGTGGTAAAGAAAAATCAGAAGGTACTGTTGCGTGATTGACAATGTCAATCGAGATAAGGGTGGAACGTTACAAGAAATCTGATGACAAATAACAAAATGGTTAGACAGAAGAAAACATGAAAGTAACACGGAAACGTCTGTCTTTTTCGTCCAATACAGAAACAGGTTTTTGTGTTTTAAATGAAGGGTGCCGTGTAATGTCTCTTTAAACGGTATCTTAGTGATGATTTAACAGCTTACGCACATATTTCATTTCAACATTTTCCCAGCCTGGCAGTACAAGTTGTTATGACTTTACTTTCGAGAATGAGCCAGTTTTTATGTCATTGTCGAAACAATAAGAAGATATTGCTATAAAAAGGACGACTACTTTCGTACCCATGCCCACATTTGATTAAACAATTGATAGATTAAGTTTAGTTTTACGCCGCACTCAGAAATATTACATCTATGGCGGCGGTCTGTAAATAATCAAGTCTGGACCAGACAATCCAGCGATCAATAGCATGACAATCGATCTACGCAACTGGAATACGTTGACATGTGTCAACCAATCAGCGAATTGGTCGCGCGTTTTCTGGTGACTCCCTCGTATTCTCCCGGCTAGTACAAGTCCCTAACGCTGACCCGGTCCGGTAATGTTTTCTCTGTTTTACCGCGACGTGCCGCCGACGCTGGTGATGATTCGACTGATTTCATTTTGATGGCTTTGACAGGTCTTTTGCCCACGAGTCTGGTGACTTCGTTGTTGATGACATCCACCACTCGGGGCAAGCGTACAACCCATTCCGTGTTTCTGTTTTTGGGATCCATTAAATCCTGCGAGTACTGATGTGAGAACAGACGTTCGGCTAAGGTGCGATTGAATCTCTCGACTATGGCTTTGCTTCCGTGAGCTCGCACCACGCCTCGTCTCACCTGGACTTTGTGCTTGGCCAGCAGTTGTGACATGGCTCCCATGAAGTCGCGTCCGGGATCGATTTGCAATACGGCAGGACAGGCCAAGCGACCGCGTTTGTATATGCGTTCAAAGGCTTTGGCGACTTTGTTCGAATCTTTCGTTGTCAACGGTTCGGCTTCCTTGTAGTCGACGACTGTCAGGGCATACTTGTAGGTTTTTCGTCTCACCCTGTCGTGAGGGAGAAACAGGAGGTCGGCTAGGTGGAAGTGATTCAGCGTTGAAATGTCGAATTTTCTTCTCGGGATGTATCGAGGCGCCGGCAGGTTGACTTGACGATGGCCCTACCAATATTGCGCACGATCGTGCGTTGGTCGTTCGTGTACTCCAACGGGATCTGGAAAGCCAGTCGAGCCATGCCGGGGACGATGACGTCGTTCGCGCCCTATTTGGGGAGTCGAACCAGCAGCGTTTGGTTTTGATCAATCATGCTCGGATTGTGGGTGATCGTCACCGACTGATGCACGGCTTTGACACCCAGGGGTTCTCTCGATCTTCGGAAAGGATCTAGCTTTCGTCCGTATTGCGACATTGTTTATATTGAGTTTAATATCAAAATATAAAATTGCGGACGATATTCCCGAGTCCTGCGTTTCATTCAGCTAAAAACAACTCTCGCCTCGATAATATATAACAAGTACTAAAATACGTTGGATTGTTAGCTTTTTGCCAGACCGACCCCACTATTTTAAAAAGTGATTAGGCCTATTTCCTAAACTATTTGACCGATTTTCGTGAAGTTTTGCATGCATCTCGGCAGATGGTTACGCTATAGCAAAACGGCATTGGGAACACTCTCGATGACTTCATTAGATGAATCAAGACTTAATTACGACAAAAAGTTGGACATTTTGCCTTTTCCCGACCGACCCCATGCTCACTTAAAAGTCAATATTTCAGAACCTATTCGACCGAGTTTCATCAAATTTTGCATGCACCTCAGTAGTAGTATTCACAATGGGGCTACAGGATTAGGGATTTCCCGTGGGCTCCTGTAGCCCCATTGTGTATACTACTGAAGATCAATTCTAACCTGGATCTTCACGGGTCTCAATTAAACAAGACAAAGCTTTTCTCTTTGTGTGATACTGATGTTATGTGAATGCATCTTTGTCATTGATAACGTCACCTTGCCATCAGGGTAATATCCCATTTTGGCGGCTGTTTTCTATGATACCATATCTTTGAAGGTCTGATCTACGAGGGCGAACCCAACACGATGGATTTTAAAGCCATAATTGCGTACTTCGCAATAACGGGTTTTATAGATAGGTGTTCTACATACGTCACTGCGTCGCCTTTGTTTCGTGGTTACGGAATATTTTCTCATTTTCTCACAGGCACGCAACCTACAACAACACCTGCACCACCAGGAAAACCTGGTCCACCTGCTGGCGGTAATGTTGATGACGATGACGACGATGATGGTAATGATGACGACGGTGACGATGGCGATGACGATGGCGATGACGGTGGCGATGGCGATGACGATGGCGGTGATGATGGAGGTGATGATGGGGAAGATTAGAGATAAAATTCAATGGACATCACTGCTATAAAACGTGTCGGTCTCAGGTTTCATGTTGACTGGCTTCCCTTCAACCAACATTGCCGTTCAAGGAGATTTCATCTAATATAAAGGACATAACATAAGTAAGCAGGATAAAGCTTATCTGACCTGTTATTTGTGAAAAAAAAAGACGTACACTTTGCACACAGTGCCTATTTCTACTGTTTACAAAGATAATGTTTGTTCAGAATTGTATCTTCACTATCACACACTGTGTCTACGTCATTGTCATCATGTGAAATAAACACCTGACCGTCTTCATTGTTTTGTCCACTTTGTTTCATGAGCAGGTTTATCTGAAATTTGTAATAAGCGGGTGATTTTGAACGTGTAAGTGGCTATGTGTTTTTTCACCGCTGTTCCTGCAATGACTGAAATATATAAAACCTTATATTATGGAAAATGACTAACAACAAAATTACATTCACTGTGGAACTAGTCAACATCCATCTGGGAATCGTCAATCTTTGATTTTGAAACATATTATGAAATGACGATTAATCATTGAATTAACTGACAATGCTGCAATATGCCTGTTGAATAATATTGAACCTAATATTCCAGCTAACACAGGTCTTTAAATATGAGTGTCTTGGCCAGGCACTCCAGTGATTGATGTGGTGAGCGGCGATCCGGGGGTCGTGATCAACCGAACAACCGAGACTGGCCAGCCCTACCATTTCGTTGCCTTTTACAACGAGCTTACACTACAACACATAATTCATTTGCAGTATTTTCATATGCTTAGCTTCTGATAAACAGAGCTATCCGTTGGTATTCTGAGAAATATCCCAATGGAAATATGTGGTTCCCGCCGTGTGTTGTAGCATGACAAATTTATATTCCGAAAGGTTATAATCTGATCAATGTTTAACTTGTCAATGATTGTCGATATCAAACTCTCAATTGTGGTCGTAATACCTGCAATCCCAAAGACGGACACAAACAAACATGCGACAGTAATTACATAGACGAAGAAACATGAGAAATATTAGATGATTGAACAAACTAACACGTCGTCATCTACATCTACAAATATACACTTTAAGGATACCAAATGAGTTGAGTTAAAATTTTTAAACTAAGTCGGAATTATGCCGGTTCAACTGTGAAATTACTCATCTGAGATACCGTCCTCCAGATTAACATCAATACCCTACTGAGACATTACACTGACACTCTGTCCCATCAGATGCTGTGACACTGTGCCCCATCAACATTTAAGGACACTTCTACAGGGCTCTCATACCTCAAGCTTACTACAGGCTACTCGTGTTAGTGTTTATATCTTAAGCGATGTGCCGTTACCTGGCTTCCCCGTGCTGCTATAACACCTCTTCACACTTGTACATGTGCCTCTCTATCCTTATTGTGTTCATCATTTGCTTGATAACGGTGTTAGAACCTACACCGAAACGTCCCTCCCTCTGTGATAAAGAATTGTCTATCCATCTAATGTTATCCTTTACGCTTGACAGTAGGCTGCTTGCGACATATACGTTTCTTATTATCTGAACTACCTGCCTTGATATAACTGACGAAGGTTGTTTTTGTCAGTGATAGGGAAGTCATCTGTCATCACATGGCCTACAAGCAGTGATGGTCATTTCGACTTTGATATAGATTGCAGATACAATACCATTTTCTCAGTCAACATATACCTTTTCGGAAAGCAACACTGAAAATAGCACTGATATTCTTACTAAAAAGGAATAAATAGAGGATATTTTGTTCATCTCGTGGTCTGACGAAGTTGATATGTTCACGAGTGGCGCAGACCACGAGATGAAATATATATGGTATTTGACAACATTAACAAAATAAACTATCGAATAACTCTTTAATCAGAAAGTAGTTCCAGGCAAAAGTGATATTCTACTCAGTGAAATAACATGTTATTCTATGTTCACGAGTGGCACCAGTATGTACAGTATTTCACCCTTAAGAATATAATAATGTGGACTATGCAATGCAAAATTTTACAGGTAATGAATTTTTTTCCATACAATAACGTAATGAAATATGGCATGTGAAAACATCCTATGAAGTATGTTACATTATATAAATATTTACTATTTTCAGAGATGTATCTTTATCTAGAGGTTATGCAGTTAGGTTTATATTCAATTTTGGGGCGACTTCTAAATCAAAGTAAATCACAATTCATTCATATAGTCCTATGGAGCTGAAAAAAGAAATCACTCAGCAAATGTTCGTGTTTCAAAGACTGAACAACTGTGCGAAGTGTACAATCAACAGTCGCAGTAAATGTCTCATTGCATACACTTACATTTCATACTGTCAGCAATGTTTCTGAGCATAATCACATGTGTTGCCACCTTCCAGCACATAGTAACTCACCAATCACAATTAGTATCGGGATGTTTTGACGACGCTAAGTCCACGTGTCAGCAGGTAAGTACTCCGACTTCTTAATCGTCAGAGGTCACCTACACAAAGACCAAGTTATTCAAATTCACAGAGGTCATACCAACAAGTATATATATATACCTGTGAAATACTGCAGTTACATTCTAGGACCTGTGTAGCTGCAAGAGTTTTGTCTCGCGTAAGTTGAACTTATTTTGTTCCATCACTGACGCTTCTGCAAATTGATTTGAGCTTTTTTTGGTTCTGTAATATTTTTTTCTCATCATTTGTACAGATCAAATGAATTATCGCAGGTGTTTCTGTGCGGATCTTTTGGACGTTAAGACTAACACAGCCAAGCACTAAAACCTCCATGGGTGATAGAGCCTTTTCTGTAGCAGCACCAGCTCTATGGAACAATCTTCCAGTCACTTTTCAAGAACTTACTCAAAACCTACTTCTTCAAGATGGCTTCTGAATAGAACTATTTTCACACTTATTGTGTTTTAACGATGTATGCAGCGCCTTTGAGCATCTGTGATGGAAACTAGGCGTTATACAAGCCAATTATTATTATTATTATTAATATACTTTTTCATTTGTAGTGAGTGACTGAGTTAAAGTATATAGTCACATCGGCAATATTTCAGCCATATTATGACGAAAACAGTTAATATGATAAGAAAATCAATATTATAAAATCTGTCGACAAACGAAAAGTAAAACATCTAAATATCACAATTTGAGGTATTAAAACTAGCATTTAACTTAAAAATATATGACTATTAGGGACAATACAAAATATAAATGGGCTAGAGATCGCCAAGTTTTCATTTGTAAGGCGTTATGCAGCTGTTTAGTTTTTATGTTAAATATTTTTGTCATGGTACGGAGGAAACCTGTTCGATTGGCATAATGTGCATGCGTTGGTGAGTGAGTGAGTGAGTGAGTTTTACGCTGCACTCAGCAATATTCCAGCTATATGGCAGACATGCACTGGTAAACGATCAAGGTGCACATTTGTGTGATGTAACCTCATTGTCACTAAATCATTATCCTGAATAATATCTTTACGTTTTCAGTTATTTTAGACTATCCATAGAACTTGGTTTTCCCTCATCTATATAACTTTTAAAAGGCCTCTCAAAGAAATGTTCATATAAAACATACATACATTTATGAGTCAGTTCATAGATCGCACAATAGCTTGCAAGGGATTCTATGTATTATCTTTACATGCATTCTGATGCCCTAAATTTAACTATTAAATCGTATACATTTTACTTTTGTACATCAGTAAGCAAAGTTTGAAGGATGACCAAAAAGCGTAGAATTAAGGCTGACTATTATTTGTAAATGACATACATCTACAAGCTTGATAGTATTTTAGAATTTATTTTTGGGATACATTTCAAATTTGAATTTTAATCCCTTTCTGCTCATATTGTAAATAGTTTGTTTTACAATTAGGCAGATAACATTGAAGGGATTGTTGTTTCTTCTTTTGAACCAAAATATGATATGTTCTTATGTAAAATCAATTATCCTTCTCCGAACTTTTCTATCCATTTTAACTTTCACGTTGGCTTCGTTAATTGCATGTTGTTGTATCCAAACTTGGGTTGATGCTCATGCCGTTAATCACTAGGTTTTCCAGTGCAGAATCGAAAACGAGCATTAGCCTCATGAAATCGATATTGTGTAGATTTCAATATAATGTCTAAAAATGAATACTAATCAGTCAGAGAATGTGTGTGTTATTTGGACCGACCCTTGCATGTTTCCGTTCATATTTGACCATAATTTTAAATAGCTGTGAAATGCTATGCAATCAATATGTCGAACATTAACTTTCACTATATCAGTAAGATATTTGGGAGAAATTACGGCATTTAATGTCGATCAATGTCTTTTGTGCACGCACAACAGTTATTGATTGGTCATGTCTAAATATGCCAGCATACCAGTATTACATGTATAGCATCTGGGGGATTTAGTTTAAGTTCGTGTTAGAGCCTAAGAAGCCGAAATAATTGATATCGACTTTAGTACCTGTAACACGGCGTGGATAATTGGCTTTGTTAACTTTATACGTTCATCTGAACAATGCATATCAGCCACGTAGTCACTTAGCCGAAGCACGCGGTGGCTGGGTGGGTAAGATCGTTGACTTGTGTGCTGGTAACTAGGTGCCTCTCTCCGACAGTATGGGTTTGAATCCTGGATGGGACTCAAGATAAATTAGTACTAGAATCTATACTTTATTAGTGAGTTAGTTGAGCTTTCCGCCCTCATCAATATTCCAGCTATATGGCGGCGGTCTGTAACTAATACACACAATCCAGTGATAAACAGCATGAGCATCGATCTATGCAATTGGGACACGATGGCATGTGTCAACCAACTCAGCGAACCTGATCACACGATCCCGTTAGTCGTCTCTTACGACAAGCGTGGGTTACTGAAGATCAGCTCTAACAGGGATCTTCACGGGTTCATCTTTAGGAGTGTAACAGGACATTCAAGTATTGAAATATTGATATGTGTAACAACACAATTGTCATGAGACAGTGGTAATGTCTAGACACCATAAACATAATTGAGAAGCAGAAATTAGTTGAATTCACTTGACCAACTTCAACAGATGTCTCTTCAAGCATGGGTTACTGAAAATCACAATTACAAATATACCCTGTGTTACATTAGATCAATTTTAGATGGCATCGTGTGTTCATAACATGACACACGATGTAATTGTTCCAGTGATCCAAAGCATGCCTCCAAGATTTCTAGCATGTCGAACTTAACCCCCGAAGTCATAAATAATCTATTTCGGCACCATCTCACTTCACCAACTATTAGAACCCGGTATATTCCACTGCCTACTATCCAGTAGTTATGATGAGATCCTTTCTAGTTGATAATACCATGTGGATCAGAAGATGCCTTTGGCTTTGGGCACTGTATAGCACCTATGAATTTTAGTTTAATAGTTTCATTATTGCGTTTTTCATGTAAGTCGTAAAACAAAGAGAAGCATTTTTGGGTCAGACTCAAGAAATTGTAACTTAAACTGACTATCTGTTACGGAGGAGGTCGAGACAATGGTGTATTTCTGTTTACAAACAACATTGAACATATGTTGTTGTTTTTCATACATTACAGAAAGGCCTAAGGACCAGTCACTATGAGGACCCAGACAATTGTTATCATGGCAGTAGTGCTTGTATTTGCCTGCTTGTGGCAAATGGGTGACGCCCAGCCAGGTGAGTTCGACTTAATTGTTTACGAAACGTGTTCATGTGTAAATTGAAAAAATACATTCCGTCTGTCAGTGCATGTATGACTATGGACCTGATGCCAAGAAAGCCATGAGATATTTGTCATTTGGTTCGAGAACGACCCCGTTTTCATTTCATTGTCATAACAAGACGCATTGCCATAAATATGACGTTTGGGTTTGCACCGATGACTGCCAAAACGTGTAGTATATGTAATATAGAAAATGAAATTGTTTAAACGTCAACGTTTTTCTTCTTTTTGTGATACTGATGCTATAGGAAACGTGCTTGGTGCACTGCTGGCATTCTGTTAGTTTTGTAAGTCATTATCTTTGGAGCTCTGACCTGATCTAGGAGGGAAAGCATACCACCCTGCATATTAAAGTCATGTCGTTTACTTGTCCATGTAGCTATAGGTGAGTCCCATATGTCAGTAGGTCGCCTTTGTGTCACTGTTACGGAATATATTCTCATTCCATATAATCCTTCCAGCCGCCACTACAGCTGCTGCCAAACCAGCTGCAGGAGGGCCTCCTGCACCACCACCTCCACCACCTGGTGATGACGGTGAGGAGGAGGAGGATGACGATGATGGTGACGGTGATGATGACGGTGATGATGACGGTGATGATGACGGTGATGAGTAGACATAAAATGCAATGGACATCACTGCTTTAAAACGTGGCGGACTCAGGTTTTATGTTGACTGGCTTCGTCGTTCGTGGTGACTTTAATTTGAGTGACATCAGTAAACACGATAAAGTTCAATTGAGCTGTTATTTATAAAACAGCGTATACTTGCACAACAGTGCACATTTCTGCTGCTTCCACAGGCATATTTCTGTTTGTTCAGAATTCTATCCACACTATCAAACACTCTCTCTTCGTCGTTGTCTGTAAATGATAATAAACACCTGACCGTCTGCTTAGTTTTGTTCACTTTGTTTAATGAACAGCTTTACGTGTAATATTAAATGTGCAGGCTTACATGCAAATGGGATGTAAGTATGGTTTCAGTGAGTGATTGCGGTTTTGCGATGCTTCCAGCAATACTCCAGCAAAGCAAAACAGAAATGGGCGTCACATAGTGTTTCTTTGAGGCGAATCGAACCCAAATCCTCGACGTGACCAGGGAACGCGTCTACCACTAGGCTAAACCACAGCCGTTATCTGAAAGAAGATACTGGATTAAAATATTACAAACTTTAATCATAAATGTGTGAGTGAGTTACTTAAATAAGTGCAGATAGTGAGTGAGTTTAGTTTTACGCCGCACTCAGCAATATTCCCGCCATATGGCGGCGGTCTGTAAATATTCGAGTCTGGACCAGACAAGTCAGTGATCAACAGCATGAGCGTGGACCTGCGCAAATGGGAACCGATGACATGTTTCAACCAAGTCAGCGATCCTGATCACCCGATCCCGTTAGTCGCCTCTTACGACAAGCATGGGTTGGTGAAGACCAATATTCTAACCCGGACCTTCACGGGTATTAATCATGAATATGTATACAAAATGAAAAAACTTCATTTCAAGACGAGTCACTTCCCTTTCAAAAAAAAAATGTCAATATATGATATTAAAATAAAATGTAAATATGAAATATAGATTATGTAATGAATTCAAACAGGCTGTCGAACACCATATCAGAGGATGACCAGCTTTTGGGCTAACTCTATATCTGAACACCCTGGATGTCGAGTTTTCGCAAACACTTTTCAATATGGCGGAAAACACCCTTCGGCGTTCTTCGTGTTTCGTGTTCTTCGTGTTTCTTCCAAACATCCAATCGATTGTAGGTTTATCGGCAACGTTTCAGAATTGCCTTTGGTGATTTAATGAAGAACACATATCAGTGATCACTAACTGAGCCACATGTTATTTTTGAACTGTAATACTTCGATTAATTATCTGATTTCAAAATATACACCAAATAAGGCTGTGAATCGGGCTTTTGTAAAGTGTCCAAAATGGCGTCATTTACGATGTTCCTTATTTGAGAGGTCATTTTCAGCACTTGTGCTTTGTCTAAAATGATAGTGGATGGTATCAGGAAACAGGAAATGCAGTGTTCAAAACTGTGTGTGCGTGACATGTTTAGAATTTTATTTGACTTCGAAGGGAGGGTTGAAGAGAAAGGGCATTTATGTCCCTCTGGCATCCAGGGGGTTGAGCCACTTGTTGACATTCTTTGGCCTTTTCATTAATGTTTTCACCAGAGTTGGAGTTCTGTCCATTGTACGACCCAAAATATAGTTACACAACCTGTTTTGATTCTGACCGTACACAGCCTCAGAGGTATCCAGACCAACAAACCGGACCTTGTCGGCTCGTTTTATATATCTGACGCCATTACATAACTTAAGAAACCTGGGGTGAGTGAGTGAGTTAACATTTAACGTAACCTCGGCAATATTCCAGCCATGTAGTGATGAGAAATGTTGGGCATACACAATAAATACAAGAAGGTAAATAACCAGTCATCGATGGACTGTAAAATAACCAGAGTATCACAGATGTGGATATAAAACTAGCATGGAAAACTAAAACATTAACAAACCTTGAAATATCTGCGACTGGCTTTTGCGAAATGTTTTGCTTTCCGAAGTCTTAAGATGCCCGACTACAGTTGTTCGTGGTGCCTAATGCTTGGTAGCACCCAGTATGTTTAATATATTGAGGGGTTATGTTATATTCTATATGTTTCAACTGATTTGCATATCTGCAATAAATAACAACTATTGATATCGAACTCACGATCACAGAGGAAAGGGGCCGTGGTGTAGCCTAGTGGTTAAAGCGTTCAGTCGTCACGCTGAAGACCCGGGTTCGATTCACCGCATGGACACAATTGGTCTGGTGTCCCCTTCCGTGATATTGCTGGAATATTGCTAAAAGCGGCGTGAAACTAAACTCAACCTCTCACGGACTTTAAGACCATGGCATTCTTAAAGTAGACAACTAACATTACTGGGCCATTCCATGATTATTTAGGCATACAATAAAACCCCGTAAATACGAACGCTATCTGTGCCCAACTAAATTACCAATAATCTGACATTGCTAATTATTAGCACTGAGTTATGATGACCCTTATAGGTGTTAATTCCAAACACGCCGAAGACCCGGGTTCGAATCCCCACATGGGTACAATGAGTGAAGCCCATTTCTGGTGTCCCCCGCCGTGATATTGCTGGAATATTGCTAAAAGCGGCGTAAAACCAAACTTAGTCAGTCAGTCAGTTAATTCCAAAAATGTCAATCAAACATCAAAGGCCATTTCAAGAAAACTGAAAACCGCTGTCCGTAACAATTGGGTTCAACTGTATTGAATTAATTACTTAAAGGCACTATTTCATACCCCACTTCTCTAAAAATAAATAATGTATTAATCACAATAATACTAACTATCAACCCTCAGGGAAACTACCATATATATATATTTTTAAGAAAAAAAAGGATTATTTTAGATTAGAATATGAAACTAAAAAGTCAGTATGTGTTTCTGTGTGTCTGTGTGTGTGTTGTTAATAAGTGTGTGGTGGGAAAAAGTTAAGCATAATGATATAATATAAAAAGGTATGGAAAGTCGAGGTGGGAGCAACTGAATTCGCTTTTAATTGTGCATGATGTGAGTTGTAGCACGTGTTTTCGATCCAATCAATATGTCTTCATATACATGTACTAGCACGAAAATCCATTATACTACCTGCGTACTACCTGAGTCTTGCAACACCCGGGAACACGCATTATGAGTCTTCACACACGGAAGCAACTACTGAATTACAATTATCAGCTTGTGTGCATGACATTTCCTCATGTAAAACTACTCCAATGTGTTGTAGAAATGGTAATAAATGACATATTTAGCTTATTATTACTTTGACTGTCTGCGATATATCATATATCAGAATAACAATTTATTTATAGCGTTGAAATTCAAGGACATGTATTGTGAAGTTGCTTGCTTTTATTAACTTGCTAATATGAAATCCCTGTGCAGGTAATTTCCACAGAGCTGACACACAACCAGCAGACAGACACCTCACAGATAAAACCACACCAAACATAAACCCTACACATATCCAGCGAACAGCTAGCCGAACATATGTGCTGCCGATTTGGGGTGTGGGTTCGAATCTCGAATGGGACTCAACCCAACAAAAGTACAGAAATCTGTACTTTACTAAGAAAGTGTAAACCCAAATATAACATATGTTACATTTGACCACTTTCTAAATGGCATTTTGTAATCATAGCTTTCGGTCGTGGGAGCCGTGCCTATTTACACTTATTAGAGGGATACACAAAGTACACAAAGTACAGCACCGTACACAAAGTACACCACCGTACACAAAGTCCGGATCCGCATTCTAGACTACCAGTTGTCCGACTTCCATTTTTGTATCAGCGCCCAAAGTACAGTCCGAAATTTAACGTGTGGGGTGGCATATCTGTGTTAGGGGCAACGCCCCTCTGTGTGTTTAGAGGGAATATGAACAGTGAGCGGTACACAGACATTTTCGAGGGATATTCTCATTTACTTCCAATTGCTCACGTGTTCTATTGAAATTTTTGGATTTTCCAGCAGGACAACGACCCAAAACATCGTTCAAAGCATTCACAGGCCTGGTTTCGGACCCAAAATATGACATTATTAGATTGGCCAAGCTATAGCCCTGACCTAAATCCATAAGAAAATGTTTGGGGACTTATGAAGGAAAGTGTCAATAAGAAAAATCTGACAAATATTGCTGAAATGAAAGAAGAGGTGGTCCGATATTGGGACAGCATGGATTTTCGATTTTCTAACTTCTTTGATCAGTGGTATGCCCCGCCGCATTGAAGCCTGCATTGCTGCCCATGGTGACTTGACAAAATACTAACTGTTCACCTGTCTTTGAATCTGGAGTTACATTCTGCTAATATTCACATTTAATACGTGAGTAATGAGTGAAAAAAATATAATAAATTACAATCTTTAAATTCTCAATAATTTCTGGTTGTACTATAAGTAGTGAGTGAGTTAAAGCTTATAGTCACAGCGGCAGTATTTCAGCTATATCGTGACTTAAAACAGTTATAAATTCATGATAAATGCGCACGTATTAAAAACCTGTCGACGAGGGACAGTCAAAACAACTAGGATATCACAGTAATAGAAAATAAAACTAGCATATATCTCTAAAATAGGATTTCAAATTAGGACAATACAATATTAAAAAAGGGCTGAGGATCGTAAACAACAAAAGGTAGATCACCACTCTAGGGACCATGGGGACTTACAGTACTTTGGTTACCTGCATGGACCCTAGCTATACTATAAGTAAATATATATCCTTAATTGTGACCCTCTCTCCTTTTTATATCATTCCAATTTTTGAAAATGCTTATACACTTAAATGCTTTCATGTTGGAGGAAGTACAAAACAAGTACTAATCATTTTACTATCGACAATCATTATAGTCTGCAGATAAGCAGATTAACGTTGTTTCATTCGAAACTTTCCTTGTCCTGTACCATAACACAGAGGGAACAAAGTCACCTGTATGAATAGTCCGACGATTAAGCCAGATGTAATGTGCATATCTGACTAGGTTAGCACCAACTATCCATAGTGTATCGCCGCTGACTGCAAAGGAGCCACGAGCGTAAGTAACGTTTCATAGTGCTATCCCGGTTAGCAATGCTTAGCGTGAATACATAATACCTTCTAAAAACTGGTCAAATGTAGCATATTTATGTTGACCCATCCAGGGCTAAGCAAAGTACATGATCTTGATTACAAGTTGGGTTTATGTGCTGGTGATTATGGGCATCATAATCGTGTATGTGTAACGTGTATGTGTAACGTGTAGGTGTAACGTGTATGTGTAACGTGTAGGTGTAACGTGTAGGTGTAACGTGCAGGTGTAACGTGT